TATTCATAAATAAAAAGAAATAGTCTACTGATAACCATTGATGAATCTCAAAATAAATACACTGTACCTAGAAGCTAAGCAAAATGAAGTACATAATGTAGGAGTCCACTTATATAAAATTCTAGAAAATACAAACAAATATATATCAAGAGACAATAGATGCATAGTTATCCAGGGACAGGAACAAGCAATTAGAAGGAAAACGAGGTATTTAAAGCTTTTGATGTGACTGATATCTTTTATGATTTTTATTGTGGTGGTAATTTCAGATATATATAGATATATAGATATACAAAAAATACAAAACTTAAGATTATAAACTTTAAAAATTTCACATTGTACATTTTAAACTGTACAGTTTATTGTATGTCATTATACTTTAGTAACTCTTCAAAATAACTTAAAGATATTACACCTGTAATTAAAGTCCTTCATTTTCAAAGTACTAAGAAGGAAAATTTGTGCTTTAAGAGTATATAATAATGTGTGGCTGGGGTTGTAGGTCAGTGGTAGAATACATGCCTGGCACCTATAAAGCACTGGCTTCAATCCTCAGAACCACATAAAAACAAATAAATAAAAATAAAGGTATTGTATCTACCTACAATTAAAAATTAAATAAATTTTTAATAGTTTTTTTAAATTTGTTAATGGACCTTTATTTTATTCACTTATTTTCATATGTGGTGCTGAGAATTGAACCCAGTGCCTCACACACGTGAAGCAAGCACTCTACTACTGAGCCACAACCCCAGCCCAAAAATTAAATAAATTTTTAAAAAATAAACAACGTATAACCTAATCTCAGGAGTCAGAGAAGCCTCCTTTTTAAAGAAAGTAGTACTTAAGAAGTAATAGTTAAGGGGCTGGGGTTGTGGCTCAGTGATAGAGCATTTGCCTGGCATGTGAGAGGCATTGGGTTCAATTCTCAGCACCACATATAAAACAAATAAATAAATAAAGTGACATCAATAACTAATAAAAATATTTTTTTAAAAAAAGAAGTAATAGTTGGGCTGGGGATGTGGATCAAGTGGTAGTGCGCTCGCCTGGCATACGCAGGGCGCTGGGTTTGATCCTCAGCACTACATAAAAATAAAAGATGTTGTGTCCACTGAAAACTGAAAAATAAATATTAAAAAATTCTCTCTTTCTCTCTCTCTCTAAAAAAAAAAGAGGAAGTAATAGTTAATATTAGAAGGCTAATCAGTTTTTATCCAAGCAAAGATCAGGCAGGAAAAGAGGCTCAAAGAAGTAAACCATATAAAATGCCTGAAGCCAAAAGGAAAGAAACACTTTTCAAGGAACTTTTAAAAACAAAAAGGAATAAAAGAGGGGTGCCTCTTATCTGTCAAAGGTGTCAAATCACAGAAACACCTTTCTTCAAAATCCCACTGTATCAATTTGTAATCCTAGAAAGAGTCCATTTGAATTATTTTCTATTCCTATTGTGTGTATAATGTAAAAGGAATCCATCAATATAAATTATCTATTAGACTCTTACTTTGAAGTAAAGACCTGTGGACAAGGAACATTCTGTTTAACTTTATTATAGTTACTGAGAGTTTCCCTACAATTAATAGAAAGAATTCCTTGTGTTTTTTAAACACATCTTAGAAAAATGTTTACACATTTAATCCTGTCTATCTTTGTTTACAACAACCTAATTTCTGACATTATATCTTCATTTTGCTGTCACCAGAAATAGTTTCATTATAAACATGTGAAATTCAGTATCCAAGTCTGAGTAATCTAAGACATTTTTTAAAATTTTATATATTGATAAAACAGGTAATTTTAGGAAAACATTCAATAAATATAATAAACTTACATTCATAAATAATTCGCAATATAGTGAGATGTTTTCCAATCTTAGAACATTAGGTTATTTTGTTTACCTAAAGAAATTAGAATTATTATAAGTCCCACATTAGCAAGAAAATGTCTAAGAACCAAAATGGAAATTTATATAAATATGAATCTCAACTATTTTACAAAAATAATTCTAAACTATATTCTAAAAAAAGAATGTTGCTCACTCAAATGGATTATAGCAAAATGTTTTCTAGCTAATTCTTTTTTTTATTTATTTCTTAATTGGACACAATTACTTTATTTATTCATTTCTATGTGGTACTGAGGATCGAACCCAGGGCCTCGCACTTGCTAGGCGAGCTAATTCTATACTAAACTACTCAAATGTAATTTGAATTAAAGTCTATCATAACCTTCATTATATTTCAAATTGGTACTGTCCTTTCTGATTCTCAGTCATAACACCTTTAGTCTTAACTGAATGAAGATCATGCTCATTTGTTTTACCTTGTGAGGAATAGCCTGTAATCGTGAATGTTTTAGTCTTTTCAAAGGGAAACAGAGACTGGAATCAATGATAGAAACTGAAGTATCACTTGTGATGCCATATTTGCTTCTGCATTTCTTCCCCCAACCATCAATCTTCCATTGTAAAGAAGGATACTTTATTCCCTAGTGAAACTCTACAGTAGAAAATAGCTAAGTTACCATGGAACCAACCAATTAATTTTGACACCTGCTTACCAAAATTGATCAATCATTTCTGATGTCTGTTTGTAAGGCTGCTATCCTTCAGTTTCATAAAAAGATTTTCAAGGTGATTAGTGAAGTAAGAACTTCTAGTTAAATTCTTTCCCACTGTATTACTATTCAAATAATGGAAAAACAAATCACTATCTTTGAGTAAACCTTTCATAGCTTAGCATGTACATTTTACCAGTAACAAGTCTTTATTTCTAAATATGATTCTTCTCTATAACATTAAATACATCTTCTTTACCCCTAAGAGTATACAAGAGAGAGATAGCTGCACCAGTTATATTTACTCTAATTAATAGCTTGTATTCCACAGAGAAATGAAAAACTATTTGCCAACAGAGTACAACGAATTGTAGGAAATAACAACTTCCAAGGAAATTGTGGGTATTCAATGATTAGTTCAAGGTTTATTGTCATATAACCATATCAACATTAAAAAACCTATTCTCCTTATACTCAATAACACATTTTGTTTATAAACACCATCTCTCAATATTATATAGGTTACTTTTAACTTGATCTGTAAGCTCTCCTACTAACTGAGACAACAACTGCTAGTCAGGTTGCACGCTGCTGGGTCACAGGCTGACAAGTTCTCCTACTATAAAACATAGATACTATATGAGCTTCTCAGGACTACAATTTACATCCTTTTTAGAAAAATAGAACAAATCCACCCACACAAAGGCCAATATCCCTAAACTGCATATGAATCAAGCAATCTCCTCTTTACATATAAAAGGATGAAAAAAATGAATGCAGCTCTTTTCACTGTTGACTGCTAGTTTACATGTTCAAATTCTCTCTTGCCAAGCAGGTAAAGAGGCTGGCTGCTTTTGTCATAATCAAAGTGCAAAAACACACGTAAAGAAGTCTATACTAAAGACACCGTTCAATAAAATCTTTGTCATCTTAAAACACTTTTCAAACTTTTAATTAGCACCTCTTGTAAATATTTTAAATGTATTTTAAACTGCAGTTTGTGAAATCATGAACCCTGAAAACATTTAACCTACTGCTACAAATGAATTTCATAAAACTGCACTTTGAGATTTCACTTCCAAAACCTTGCTGTAATTTAAATAGCAAAATCTACCTAAAACTTTAAAGTGCCATTTTAAAAACATACATGTTTACATTGAGTTTTAAGGAGAACTGCTTTAACCAACAACAACAAAAATGAAAGGAAGAAAATAAAAAATATTCTGTTTAAAACTAAAAGAAAATTCTAGAATATATTAATAAGGTAAACCATATCCTCACCTTTGCCTTAGAGCCCAAGACACTTCACCTAAATTTTGCTATCATCCTGACAATAAATGTTAGCAATCTACATAGTGTAATTTCATAGCCATAAACCAGTCAGCAAACTTCAGATTAAGTATCTAGAAGGCTAAGAAGCTGAATTTCTGTTACCTGCAAGTTGTCAGAAGGCTACACTAATGGCCTCAACTAATTATTTATTGCTCCCCAACACCTACCCAATTCTTTTTATAACGGTCAGGAACCTAATAAGCATCAACCAATAGGGAGAAAGTATCTCAGTGAAGCAAACTCCTTTAACACCTTTAGCTTCTGAAAACCCGGATTGAATTCCCACACAATACCTGATTAGCTAATTAATCAGTTTGAAAACTTCATTTTCTTCACCACACACAAAATAAGTCCAGGTATTCATCCTTTTACCTAACAGAATGTCACCCATGTATTCCTCAATATAAGCCTACTCTAGCAAAGTCAACATCGCCTACTGGCTAAAGTTTTGGGATAATTTGGAATCACGACCCATCAATTTCTAATGGGTAACCTTCAGCGAGTTATTTAAATTCATTGCCTGATTTCTCTGTGTATCTAGTATAGGAATCCTGTAAGTCATAGGATTATTGTGAAGAGCAAATGGGATAACCTAAAACGCTTAGAACAGTTGGACACTTCGAAAGCCCATCATAAACCCTACTTCTTATGGTCATTGGGTACTAAATAAAACGTCAGCAGTGGTCACGTCTAGAGAGGAGCAGGATGGGAGAGGAGTACTGGTAGACCACAACTTAAAACCTTTACACTTCTGTGTTCCAATTTTTCATAATGCACATGTATCTCATGAGTTACTTGCATAATTTCTCATTTTTAAAACACTGCCCTAACGAAAATGGTGTTTGGCACTGTAACTGGGTGCGAAAATGTTCTTGCTGTGCAGGGGATCAGAAGTCGCTGTGAGCATCTGGAAAGCCCGGGGAGCCTTCGCTGCGCGTCTGCCAGCGTCTGCCAGCACCCCGCGCGGGCCGGAGAGCCTCGGGGCGCCCACGGCCGGAGGGGTGCAGCAGGGGTGCAGCGTGGGCCCTGCTCCCGCCCGCTCCCAGCCCGGGGGGAAAGCCGCGACCGCAGCCTGACGGGGCTGAGGGTCGGGATCCAGCGAAGGCACTTACTTGAACCTGCCCTGGCAGTGCTGGCACTGGTCCCCCACCCAGCCCGGGTCGCAGAGGCAAGTGGAGTTGACACAGCGGCCAGAGAAGCAGGAGCCGGTCCTCTCGCACGGCTTAGACTGGGACACCTGCGCGTAGAGCGCCAGGTAGAGGAAGCCATAGCACAGCAGCCAGCTGTTCCCGTCCAGCAGCCAGGAGGAGGCGCCCCCGCCGCCGCCCGCCGGCCGAGCCCTCCACAGCCCCGGGGCGGCCGGCTGCGGGGCGCCCATGCGGGCCTGGCCCCCGGGCTCCATCTTCCCTGCGCCCATGCCCGGCTGGGCTGCGCTCGCGGGCGCGGACAGTGATGCTCCGGAGGGGAATCCCGGCCGCAGAGAACCTCGCCGCCGCCTCTCCTCTTTCTCCTCACCGGCGCCAGCCCCAGTCCCGCTCTCTTGTCAGGAGGGACAGATCCCGACCGCCGTCGCCTCCGCTTGGCTGCTTCCAGCCGCACTCGCGCATCGCCGCCCAGCCTCCTGACCTTGTCCGCAGAGGGCCAACCCCACAGCCGCGGCGCCCCGGGCCGGACCAGAGGCGGGGAGCGGGCGTCGCAGGCTGTGCCCGGCGCTCCGGAGGAGACCTGGCTGCGCGGGGGAGGGGGCCCCGCGCGCGGCCCCGCCTCGCCCGCGGCCCGCGCCAACTGCCTCGGCTCCGAGCGCCGCGCGCCCGGGAGGGCGGGGGCGGAGCGGGAGCCCCGAGGTGGGCGCGCCCACGTGGGAGGGGGGGGACGGAGAAGGGGCGGTCAGCCTCGGGCCGTCCGCCGGGCGGTCGGCTGCCCCCCAGCAGCCATTTTCTCTCCCGTGCCGCTGGCCAGCTCTGGGGCCGCAGCCCTGGCCGGCAGAGCGTCAGGGCGGCCCCGCACCGCCGAGCGTGTGCGCGCTCCCCCCTTGCCCGGCGCGGTGGTCTCGCCCCGCCCCTGACAGGGACCTGGGACTCCCCCCGCGCGCGCCCACCCCGCGTGGCCCGCGAGCAGAGGGTCGGCTGGACCCCAGGTGTGGCCCGCGCGCCCGCGTTGCCCTTTGCTGGGCGCGCGGGAGAAGCCAGCCCCACCCGCAGGGCGAGCCTCCCGGGCTTCACAAATAAAAGACCCAGACCGGCTTCAACAGAAAAGAAGCCCTTGGCGTCCACCGTCTACAGCTGCAAAAGTGCAGCGCTTTTTTCCTAGCGCTTCTCCCTTCCTTCAGCCCAACCTCCTGCCTATTTCTTCTTTTTTTCTTAAAAGAGAAAAACTCCAACTACACACACAAAGAGCTGAGCATGTGCAGCTAGCAAAAGTCTTAAAGGCACCGCAGTCTGACCACGTTGTAGGGTCCGCAAGGACAGGGAGGGGCGGGGGATAGTGACTGCGAGCCTTCCCGTGGAGGGACCTCTCCAAGGGGGAGCCATTTCTTCAACAGAAACACGACTCCCCCGCCCCCAACAAAGAACTGAGAGGCTCTAAGCCCCCAGCGCGCCACCCCTTCCCGATGCTATCTCGGAACCCTGCGGTCTCCCTTTCTGCCTGTCAGTGTTTCCTTCTCCATCTGGGACGATATTCTGCCTTGAAAATTTTTGCAACATCGGAGCTTTTCTCAGAGGAGCAGAAATCATGCCCAGAAAAGAGCCGTTTCCCTTCCTCAGCGGCAATCTTTCTTCCTTTATATGACTTTCCAAGATTTGATGGCATATACTGAGATTTTTGCTCCGTACTTTTATGCCTTCTTCACATGAGCTTTTTATTTGAACCCTTGGGAAAGGAAGCAGAACACAAATTGCAGCTATGCATCCTCGAGTTACAGCAGTGTTCTGGAGCCCCACCAAAGAAAAAGCAATATGAACAAGAATGTGAAATCTGCCAAGGACATTTCTGACGGCAAAAGGAGAAAAGTTTTGGTTGTCACCACACAGTCATAATATTATTGTTAAGACAGAATTCGTGTTTATTTTGGGAATAATGTGCTGGCGTCATCTTTTTCAATCTCTATTATCCCCACTTTGCAGATGAAATCCTCCATTAACCCCATTTTGCAGATAAAGAAAGAGAAACTCAGAAAGATTAGTCAATGGCAGGTTAGGAGCAAGTCATGAACAGAAGCTTTAAATGCAAGTCCTCTGAATTCCATGCTTTTTCCACTATTTATCAAGCTGCTTCTTTTAGCAGATGCTTTGTTCTCCTTTGGTGAATAAAAAATATCAGTGTTGACTTAGTTTGCAAATGCCTCAGTGGTGACTCAAGGAGGTCCAGAAAGAAGTGACTCCCTTGCAAGAGAAAAAGAAAACCATGTCTGTCATTGGCATAACAAATCATAATTTCCACTTCATATCTGCACCAGCAATTGAGGATACTCAAGCCTAAACTTTGGACAGGCCATTCCTAACTTGCACATGTTTTTCACATTGGGATACCTCTTACAGACTTCTTTGGATGGGAAAAGAAATGAAGCACAACATCCTACAAAAAAAAACATTAAAAGGAAGATTTTGTTCTGGATCATACTTTTTAAATTTCCGTGACTGAAATCCAGAACTCTTTCTAGTATCAGCAATACATGAACAATTTTTGCTGCTCTTCCATTCTTCTCTTTCTGCCAAAGTTTAAAGTCAGCCACATTTTTCTCACATCTAATGCAGAGTTGCTTTCAGACACATGGAAAGTGGCCAAGCTCTTAAAACCTTTGGTAGGTGTGAAGGTAATTGAAAGGGTACACTGGAGTACAAGTAACAAGAGATAGATCACAGCTCAGCCACATACTGACTGTAGCCTATATTTGAGCAAAGGGTGTGCCCATTAAAAATACACATTTTTTAATCATCTAACCACTATAATCAGCTTGCTACTTCACCTTACCCTGAAGAACATACAGCCCTACAGGCTTTCTCTCAACATTGCCTTTAGAATCAAGCTGAATATATTAACTTAATATAAAATTATTCTCATAAGGATCTAACAGAATTTCCACTTGCCCTACATCCTATTTCTCTTTCAAACTGTTGTGATCAATATTTTCTAGGTAATTATTATGAGTTTAAGCAAGAGAAAACAAAGATAAATAAGCATGATTTCTATGATACCTACCCTGGAGGGGTATCACTAAATTGTGAGCTCTTCATAGAGTGTCATATACTTCACAAATGTAGACACAGGACACTTACATGGTTTTAAATGGTCACAGGAAAAGTCAATGACAAAGCTTTCCTAGAAACTTGACTGATCTCTCAGTATCTTCTATGGCCAAGAAATTTTAAAACTTCCACATTATCTTTTTTTCCCTAAAGAAGTCAGCATCCTAGCAGTGCTACACAGCACTAAGATAATTTATAATATTGGTAATAGCCATCATAAATCTAGCAGAAAGGTGAAAAATTTCTCCAAAGAGGTAATTGAAGAAAAGTCAGCTTTATTGACATAGTATGGAATTATTCTGATAAGAATTACCCATTAAAATTTCTCCAAGGGAAAACATAAGAAAAGTAAATTTGTTTTCTCCAGAATTAGCCTTACATCAGGGCCTTCAAATACTTGGGTAGTATGTTTCATTTCCATTCACACCATTGAGTGGTTTTATAATATTATGGACAAAATCTGATACTTCACATCACCAGGTTGTTTGAAGGAAATTTGAATGATTTTTTAGAAAGAACAAGAGAAATGGTAGATCCACTGATCTTTTTGATTACAACGTAAAAAGTAAAAGATCCTATTTGGACTAGTGAACCAAAGTAGACCCTTCTCAATTGCCTGATTGAAAAATGATCGCTACTCCAGTTATTGTTTCCCATTTGACTCATATGAGAACTTCTGAAAGCAGCCAAGAAAATGAGAGCTGCAGATAGCCTGGCCTCAAGAGCCAGAAATGCATTCATTTGAAGGACCCATAGTGCAAGTGGGGCTGCATTGTTAAGACACTAACAGTACATGAATGGTCTATGAGGCTAAACAGAAAAAAAAAAATCAAGTTTAGATACTGAAGTATTGATGATATTAAAAATGTTTATATGATTATGATGTGAAACACCACCCTTCCTACAACCAAAATCTAACATTCTGCTCTCTCTTGGATTCATTCTTTTCTTCCATTGGTTTCTCTTGCTGTCACACTTTAAAACACACACATAGACTCATCCATCTGCCAATTTTTCTACTTAACACATTTCAAACATATTGTTATAAGTAAATCCAAGGAAATACATCCAAAGATACTCAATTGACTATGCTGGGCTAATATATTTTTTAACTGGGAAATAAAATGAACATCCTTACACTTTTCTTCCTAAATATTCAGACTTGTCACATACAAAAAAAAATGTTGATTAGTAATAGTCAATTGCAGAAATTTGTCTTTTGTAAAATTTAGTTTAACAAAAACATAGGCAGGGAGCTGGGAGTTTGGCTCAGTGCTCTACCTGGCATGCACGAGGTCCTGGGTTCTATCCCCAGCATTGGAAAAAAAAAATAATAGCAATCACAAAGGTCAAGGGTATGATGCTTATGCCAGCTACTCAGAAGGCTAAAGTAGAAGGATTGCAAGTTCAAGGCCCACCTGGGCAACATAGTGAGATCCCCATCTTAAAAAATAAAAGAGTAAAATAGGAAGCAGTTTTAAACAGAAGAATCACAAGTTTGAGGCCAGCCTGGGCAACATAGAGAGACTCTATCTCAAAATAAGAAGTAAAAAAAAAGGTACAGAGTTGTATCTCAGGGGTAGAATGCCCCTGGATTCAATGCTTGGTACCTAAATAAATAAATACATATATAAAAACATAGGATGGGACCTATTAAACAGTTGATCAAGTATGTACATTTACTTGTTCCCTCTACAAACTCCACCAACATGACAGGAAAGGGGTTTTTGGTGTGTATGTGTATTTTGTTTTAATTTTTGAAAATAAGTTCACAATGACAAAGAAAATGAGAAAAAGATCAACTTGTAGATGAGAGGTGGCAATGTATTTGGAAGTATCAGTGAAGGAGGACAGCAAATGGACAAATGATAATTAAAATATACATGCCTGAAGAGATAAGAAACAAGAAACAAGTCTATTTCTCCTTAAGAACCCAGTAAAGCTCAGGACTCAGCAATTCATTAATGAGTTACCATGGAAGGTAGAGTTCAGTGTCTAGGATGAAAACAATAGAAATTGTTGAGGGCAGAGTAAGAACCCATGGTCCCCCTCCTCACCCCAAGCAGCTAAAGACTAACCCAAACAGGAGGCTTCATTTCCTGGAAAATTGAATCAGAGACTCCAGATGGAGAACTAGGCATAAAAGAAGAGTGTGAGGTACACAGCGGAAAATAATTAGATCAAGTGATAATTTACAAATTGAGTTGCAAAATTTTCCTGCTGTCTTTTCCTACCTGTTCCCAGAACACCTACAACCAAATGAAAGATACTTATCTGCAAAATTTGAAAGATTCAAAGACAAAAAAATGCTATCATTTGTGGTCACCTAACCAGCTGACAAGTCAGTCTCTGGATCATCCTATAAAGAGTCTATTAGCCAATAAGCCTTACCCAAACCTGATCCATTTTTCATAATTCTCTCTTAAAAGTAGACAGTAAAGTGTTACTCCACATAAAAGATAGAAATCTAGGGGCAGGG